GCCAAACATTAAATTTATTGTCATTTATAAACTTATAGTTCACAATAGCATGTGTTTCAATTATAATAATATGTGTATAATACAAGCTTAAAGAAAGGGCACGTAACATTCTAGAGCATATTTCTTACTAGAAATTAAATTTGTGATGACAAGATATTCTTGATTTCCTTTATTTATAGTTTCAACATGATATCCATTTTTGCGGATATCTTTGAAGCTCAATAAATTTATGGTAGACTTGGTAGAACAAAATGTATTATCAATATATAATCTTGTTCCTTCATATAGCAATACATGAGCTCTTCTAGGGCCTTCAATAAGATTTATACTTTGAGATATAGTTTGAACATTCACTTCTCACATTACCAAAGAAGAGAAATATTTTTATTTTTGAGTATTGTGTGAGTTGTTGCACTATTAACGAGACAGAAATCTTCATTATTGATGTCAATAATGGTCATTCTTCATGAAAAAAAACATAGGAAAAAGATTAAAAAGAAACATAATTAATAAAAAGGAACATAATTTTATGATTAATAAAAACTCATAATTTTATTTATTTGGGGGATAATAATCTTACAAGTAGAAACTTTATCGTAGTAAATGAAAAGGCACACTTATAAGCAAAATATAAGAATATACTGAATTATAAAAGCTCAATTACATCAAAATGATTCATTTTTTGGACACTTCTATCACTAATTAAGAGATCAATTCTTCCATTAGGATTGGCAAAGATATCAGCAACATCAAATGAGTAAATCGATGTTGCCATAATCAGAATCGCCTTCTTCTCCAACAAAATTTGTTTCCATCTTTGGCTCTTCACCTTTATTTTTATTTTTGTTCTTATTTTTTAGCGATACTTAGTAAAGGTCAGCCAAATGTTTTGGCATACTATAAGTACGAGACCAATAACCCTTGCCACCACGACGATAACAAAGATTTTCAACATGATTATTATTTTCACTAGGTTCTTTTTGGTGATTCTCATCATTATCTACCCACTTCTGATAGGAACGACCACCTCTAGGGCCATGGCCACGACTACTGCCACAGCCATAACCACGTCCACATCTACGACCATGGCCACAAGTTGATTCACTTGCTACTACATTTGTTTATGGGAATGGAGTGGAGCCAATAGGACGAGATTCATGATTCCTCATTAAAAGCTCTTTATTTTACTCAGCCACAAACAGGCAAAAAATTAATTCAAAATATTTTTTGCAACCTTTCTCACAGTATTGCTGCAACAGGAGTATATTGGATGCATGAAATATGGAAAATGTTTTTTCTAACATATTTTCATCAGTAATCTTTTCTTCACATAATTTCAGTTGAGAACTAATTCTAAACATTGCAGAATTATATTCAATCATAGATTTAAAGTCTTGCAAATATAAATGCATCCAGTCATAATGAACTTTGGGAAAGATTACAATTTTCTGGTGATCATACCTCTCTTTTGAATTGTTCCAAAGAATAAATGGGTCTTTTATTGTCAAATATTCAATGTTGAGTCCCTCATACAAATGGTGATGTAAAAAGATTATGGCTTTGGCTTTATCTTGGTTGGATGCCTAGTTGCCTTCCTTGATTGTGTCTCCTAGACCATTGGCATTTGGGTGGATTCCCGTATCTAATATCCGAGATAAATAATTCTTTCCAATAATGTCAAGACACACAAACTCAAGTTTCGTGAAATTTGACATGATGATACTATCATATAGAAGTTAAATAAAAATTAATACTAACATAATGGAATAGTTATGAAACAAATTAATATGAAAGTAATATAGAAATTTATCTTGGCCCTACTACAACACCTTTCAATTACAAGAGCGCTTCGTGCTAATAACATCGTATGAAATGGAACCATAAAAATAGAGTAGAAAAAGATGAAGACAAGAAAATAAAAGAACTATTATATTTCATCACTTGCACCACAACACAAATGACATGTCCTATTTATAGATATAGTCTTACACATAAGTTATATTTGTCCTTAAAAAACAAATAGTAGATAATCAATCTTATGAATATGAGTAGAGGTGAGTTACAAGATTAAATAGATAGTAGAAGAGTAATGGACAATGAAGGAGTAATACATAGTAGAAGTTACTTAGTGAAGTTGAAGAGGAATGGGTAAACAGACATTCATATAATATTCGTAACAAGCAAATTAATTTTAGGCAATTATGTATTTGTTTGAATTTTGAAAAATTATATTTGAGTTGAAATATGCTGAATTTGATTTTTTTTTTTTTAAAAGCAATTTTGAGTGCATAAAGTAGTGGAAGAGTTTAATTTTAATTGTTTGGTCACTTATGTTGGTTAAATTAATTAGTTAAATTCTCCATCATATTATGCATATATGAGATATAAATGCATATAGTTGATAATTGTACTTAGCATGCAGAGTTGATAAGGAATAGCCACAACATCCTTTTGTATAATGCATGCATAAATAATTACATCTAGATTTTAAAAGATTAACTATAATCAATGGGTTATTATAATTTGATCACAAAAATAATTTAGTTGATCAAATTAATTGGTTGAAATATATATGAAATTTAATTGTATTTTTATTATCTTTCACATTAAATTCTGAGAAATTTAATCATAGAGTTTGTTATTTTATTCAAATATTTTTGAAATAATTAATTAATTCTTATATAAATTACAAAATTTAAATAAAAACAAAGAAAACCGAAAAAAAGAGGTGGAGAGAGTAGAAAGAGAGGGGAGGATGAGGGAGACCATAGAGTTGACACCTGTCCTGAGTGGGCCCAACAAAAAAATAACAGATGTTTATGAGAGTTAACAAATTTCGTATTTTTGCCCCCACCTTAAAAAATTTATGTATATTTTTACATTCAAGATATGGTATTGTTCTTGAAAAAAAAATAAACAAAAAATTAGGATAAAGATTAAAGAACCTAGAAAAAGTGTTATTTATTGAAAAAAAAATCTAAAAAATTAAAATTATTTAGGGAGGTAAGATATGAAGGTACAAATTGAGAAATACTAAACTACGCTTCAAACCTTTTGTCCCAAAAAATAATCCAAAAAAACTCAAAATGCCTAGTCATCTTCCTCCCTGTCATTGCCATTTTTTAGAGCAAGGAAGGCTTTCCAGGTCTTTCACTAGCGGGTTCCATCTGCCACGGATCAATGGAATCTATTATTAAAATTTCGAGTAATGAAATATCAACGACAATTCTCCGGAGCTTCTATTCTCACAAGTCATAACCCACAGCAAGTCGTCATTCGTGCAGCAGAATTCCCGAGTTGTTCATATCTGATTCTGCGTGAGGCCAAAGCCAAAACAAGTCGATGCCTTAAAATCCATTGCGTCTAGTTGTTTGTGTTGATGACTGAATGAAATATTTTCTTGAAGAAGCAATTCTGACCAAGTGAGCATCGAAGAATGGATTGAATTTGAAATCGTTCGCCTTCTTGCCCAAAACTCCCTGTACAGCTGCCATTCCATACGAAGATGAGAGTGATGATCAAGGGTTTCTTGCGCCTGACAATGTTAGTAAGGTTGAGAAATATTGTTGGTTTCCTGTGGAAAGAGCGTGAATGGGGGAGAGGCTGACGCTAGCGAAGGCGCGTATAATGTGTGGGAACAAAAGCAGATTTTATGTCAGGAACGGTAGATTCACTGCCAACATACCAATAAGTAACTTTGGTCCAACTTTGTGAAGAGTGAAAATGAAGATGAAGGGAAACAGAAGAAAAGGAATTGAGTGGAAGCTAGGGGAGAAGATGAGGTTTTCGGTTTTTGAGCAAATATAGTTTTAGGGGCAATTTATTACTCCCTCTGTTCTTTATTATAAGAGACATTTGATGCTTATGGCATGTTTCTATATATAAGAGACACTTAAAAGTTGTCTCTACTTTTTTGTGTTGATTTTCTATTTCACCCATATTTATTGTCTCCAACTCACACTCTCTCTCCTTCCCACTTTTTTTTCTTTTAATAATTTACCATTGTTCTCTCTCATGCTCTCTTTCCTTATTAATGAGGGCATTTTTAAAAAAAATTATACTTTTTACACATTGATTGTTCTTAACTAATTTTAACTGTTTTTTTTATCAACGTAATTCGGTTATTCGTCTCTTATAATAAGAAACGGAGGGAGTATTATTTTTTTATTGTATTTTAATATTTGGTCTCCCCACATAATTATAATTTTTATGATCCTCCCTTGTAAATATTTTTTTAGGTCAATTCTAACTTTTTTAAAAATAAAAGATGTTTTTGCACCTTCACCTATGAAACAAAAAACCAAGCATAACCAGTGATGAACCGGTTTTAATAATCATGTTACTACTGATTTTATTTTTTCTCATTCAGCTCCTTAATATCTCAGTCACTATAAATTTAAATGAACTTATTATTGTTACAAATCAAATTATTATTGTATTTTTTTATATTTTCTTATTAATAATTATTAATGTTGTTATATTTTGTTATTTTCAATTAAATTATATTATTTTAATGATCAGTTTGACCCCAACTTAACTCGATCTGATCCACTACCTCTTAAATCACTACCTGAACCAATTTAGCACCCAATCCAATTTTTTATTCCTTGCCCTCACCTTAATAGTTTTAATTTCTTCGATTTTTTTTTTTGTTGGTATCTTGGATAGTTTATTCAATTAAAATAACTTGGTGTAATGATACGTCTACTGTACATTTTAGATTCTTCATTGTTAAATACCTTGATTTTGATTTACTTTTGATTTTAAATATAGTAGTACAATTTACCGTACAAACTAAAACTGCAGGCAATATTTCATAAATACAAAGTGGTTACCGTTCATTTGTGTTCTTCATTTTGACCTTTCAGTCCCAACTTTCAATGTTCTAATTTTTTTGGGCTAAGTTCCATTGTTACACTTAACTAGTCTTTTCAAGACGAACAAACGCTAAATTTAACTATTCATCGTGCATTAGCCGCAAGTGAACATTAAAACACAAATTTCACATGCAGACTAGCTTGGCTAATTGAATTCCCACCATTAATTTTTAAGCAAAGACAATGGCATACAAAAATTTATCCACCATATTTGAAATCTGTCTCAATAATTTATAAAATTTAAAGAGAAGTTTCCCCCTCAACACATAATTGACATCATGTACAAGACACTGATAACACGAGGCATCCCCACCCAACCAATAAGACGGGAAGTTTATGATTCAAAGCCCACAAATTTGGAGACTGGGGGGCATCACGTCTCAAATTTCAACCATTCGAACCAGCTTGTTATAAAGTATACGATCGTCTCTCCCAGTGTTGCTCTCTAACAATGCGCTTTGTACAAGCTCCTGATTTTAAGTAAAACGTTAGAAGGCAGGTCTCGTATGGATGTGAACATATGCATAACATACTAAAAACAAGACAGAATTTAAGTTCAGGGAATAAAGCATAAGCATTTCAGAGAGTATTCACCTTGACATCCCTGTGAGAAAGAAATTTCCCAAGGTTGTGGATAATCAGTCTCATATCTTCAACCTGAAAAGCAATATATATTTCTCAACATTCTTCTGTGGATACTAAGAAACAGTAAAAGATGAAGCAATATATATTTCTTAAACATTCTCCCGTGGATACTAAGAAACAGCAAAAGATGACTAGTCCTTACCCTAATGTATCCAACTCGATTCCGATCAAAAAAATGGAAGGCCTATTGAAAATTAGAAACAAATGCATCAATATACCCCAAAAAAAAAAAACTAAAATATTACTCGCATGAATAAAACAAAACAAGAATATAAAATGCACAGGCAGATACCTGCAACAATTCTTTGTCTACAGTAGCCTCCTTAACAGTACGGACTTCTTTCTTACTTTTATCCATTTTATCTTCCTTTTCTTCATTTGAATGAGCATCAGACTTGGATTCTTTTACTACTTCTTTAACCTTATCTTCCCCTTTGGAAGTTTCATATGCTTCTTTATCAGGTTCAACATTCGTGGCAGCCTTTTGCCCTGCATTTTCCTCATTAGATGAATCGTGCCGAGGACTTTCATTTTCTATTTCTTCATATTCTTCAGGATCCTCATCTGGATCCTCCTCCGGATCCTCCTCTGGATCTTCCTCCTCCTCTTCTACATCATCCATCTTCATGTCCTCCCCCTTAACATCAGAGTTGTCATTTTTCGCATTTTTCCCGTCATCTACTGTTGTTGTGCTTTTGTCCACATTAGAGAGCTCAGTTTTCTCAGAAAGATCATCACCCTTTGGCCGTTTCACAGGCAAATTTTTCACATTGTCTTTCTCATGCCCATCTTCTCGCTGCCTCTTTCGTTGGTTTCTTTTCATCACAAATTTTATGCGCAGCTTCTACACACCCGGGGGGGGGGGTAAAATTTTTAGTTCAGGATGCCACCTCTGAATAATCAAATTAGACAGAAATCAACAAATCATATTTTAACCAACCTGAAGAAATGTCAAAATTCGACATCCCATTTGATACTGAAGCATTTCATAAATTGATTCAGCAAATAATGAAATCTGCCCAAAAAAAAATGTCATGTAAAAAACTTCTGAGTAATAAAACGAAAGCAAATAAAAGCAAGCAAACAAACCTCAAATGTTGATTCTTCGATGTCTTTGTCAGTATAATCCAATAGTGAATCCAATGAAAGTGACAATGAACGCAGCTGCACCAGCAATAAGATACTTAGACTAGTGCACTTAAGACAGCAAGTTTACAATGATTTTTTCTATAATTACCATCGTACCTTGGATTCTTTTGACCCTCTAGTCTGGAGAATGAATCCAGGGTGCCGAGGAGGTTCATCAGACTTCTTCTTATCTTTCACTTCTTTAGTAGATTTGCTTTTAGATTCATCTTTTCCATCTCTCTCTCTTGTTGCTTTCACCTCTTTTAACTTGTCACCATCTTTCAATTTACCCTTTCCATTATGATTGTCCTCAGAGGATTTCTGCTTATCAATCCCAGACGCATTTTTTTCACCAGTCCCTTTTTCAACTTTTTTTCCATCCAAGTCAGAGTTTATTTCTGTTTTATTTGAGTCGCCTAACTTATCTTGCTTACCAGGGGTTGCAGGCTTTGACTTTATTTTAGGAACTGTCTTTTCAGTTTTGTTTGCCTCAGTCACTGAGTTGTTGGCATCAACAGTCTGCTTGGCAGTACTTTGAGGGTCAGTCTGGTTGGCAGTACTTTGGGGGTCAGTCTGCGCCTGAGCAGACACTACATTCCCTTCATCTTTAGAGTCAGAAGCCTCTGGCTTGGATGCCCCAGCAATCACCTTTTTTTTAGGTACACGTTTGATAATTTTCTTCTTTTTTGTTTTCACGCCAGAATCATTTGCTGCATTAGACTGTGGATCAGGCTTATCTTGAAGTTTATCTTCGGAGCCATTTATTTCTTTCTTATCTTTCACCTCATCAGCATCTCCTTTCCCCACTGAAGCATCCTCTGTAGCAACCAATTTAGCAGAAGCAGCATCCCCACTCTTATCCCCGCTCTCTGAAGATTTGTTATCCTCAACAGGAACATCTGAAGTCATTTTGTCAGCATTATCCTTCTCATTCACTTTGCCTAGCTGCTTGCCAGCAGTATCATTAGTCTTGCTGGCAACTTTCTGCTTCACAACCTTCTTTATGACCTTCTTCTTCACAGACTTCACACCACCAGTTGTCTTGGCAGTGGCTGTTTCTTCTTGCTCCTTTTTCTCAATATTCTTGCCTTCCTCAGCATTATCAGCCCGGTCATCTGGAGCTGGGTCATTGTTAGTTTCTTCTTTCTTAACATCTTTGCTGCCTTTCTCCTTTTTGACATCCTCAGGAAGTCCTGAGGCTGCAGATTCTTTCTTGTCTGATTTTTCCAAATTAATTATAAGAAGCAAAATAAAACGTAAGCATAAAGGGGAAAATGGATCAACAAGAGGAAATAAAAGATAGAATGGCATGCACAGGATAAGGAATTTGCCCACTCACCTTTGGAAGCTTCCTTGTTATCTCTTGACTTCTGATACCACATGAAATCATTATTAAGACAGGAGAAGCAAGATGAGATAATATTCCCACTTAACAATCCAATTCAGAAAAAATAAATCACGAACGAACATGGCAACTTCATTTATAGAAACAGACCTCTCTTTTTAATGGAAGTTGATGCTCTCTCTCTGCAACAGCCATCTTATGCGCAAGCCACTGGTTATGCCATGCATCCAGTGAAGGCAGGCAATCAGATAAATCAGGAACAAATAATACAGTGATCTCCTTGTGGCTAAACAAACCATCCTTGCCTACTCTATCATAGTGAATCTGCAAAGTTGAAGCCATAATGATTACGGTTTCCAAGTCAATTTACACAACCAAAACATAAGACCACATTAGGCTGTAAAAAGGTTTGTTGCCGCTATAAAGAAGTTCATAGCCTTTTGTTCCCAAATAACTAGTTTCTTCCACACCAACAATTTATATTACCAAATTAACTGGTCCCCAGAAGACTATTAGTCCATAATATTCATCTTCCAAAAAATAGATTGAGTTCAGAAACCTATAGGGATAGTTTATTGCCTTCTTGTTTAAATGCCAACAAATTCAGACTTTGGAAATGAGGTATAAATCACACAAGGCTGATAGGACCAAATGGAATTACCAATCTCACACTGTACAGAAATCAGGTGAAATCCCAGGTCATAACCATGCATTAAGCTTCTTCAAGAAGTTGCAAAAGAATTTATTCACAAGTGATAAGCAATCTAGCTCAGTTATTCACAATAATAACAACTTGTCAGCAACAAAGAAAAAGAATTTAGAAGATATGATTAAAATTACAGATATATTATTTATCTACTCATTCCTAGATATGAATTGATGGACCTTAATTATGCGTTCAAATACATCAGCCCTCTGGCACTTGTCCTTAAGTTGACTGATTTTGTGTGCTGGTGTCTTTTTGTGACAGAATTAGGGAAAAATTTAATCAACATAAACGTTAAGAAGCTTGAGACAAAAACCAAAACTATGCACACAAGGCATAACAGCTAAATAACCCATTAGGTTGCTATTCATCTTATTAGAACATTAATGATTTATGTCAGTTCTCAACAAACAAAAAGGAAAATAAACAAACAAAAAGGAAAATAAACAAACAAAAGATTTTGTATTACAACAGATCAGTACCTCAAGGAAACGGTTCCATCGCTGACAGTTTTGCAAATCTAGTTGAATAACGTCTTTGGCACGCCTACAAAATAAAAGAAAGTGTTGTCAAGCCACTTGTCGATAGCATATTGTAAACCGATAGTCCTGTATTAAGCACAAACCTAAGGGCTGTTCTGATCAACGAGTTATCATCAATAGATGGATCACCCCCGTCTGCAGATTCCCATGGCCCACCAACTGCCATGAAAGAATGGTCCTTCTTAAGGATAGCAAACCTGAGGATATTACAAATATGAGGGATGCGATCATCAAAACTTCTATCAGATGACAGATCCTCCAGAGCACTCCTGCTAAGTCCGCTCAATAAAATTATCTGACACGGAGTAAATTTATTCGTCAAATAGTAGTTAGTGGATGCACAAAGTCTTTCTTTACAATAAGATGCTTCTACAGACATATAAGAAACCAATGGATAACTAGCCCCTCTAAAGCACATATATAAGAGAAACCATAATTTAGAAAGACCCATGTGTCTTCCCTGCCAAAAGAAAACACAATGGAGGCTGAGGATTCATTATGGAAGTGAAGGTGAATTGATAAAAATTTTCATAATAACCATTCACGTATCCAGCTCCAGTAATTGGTAATACCCGAAGCAGTTGGCAAGTGTAAAATTTAATTCTATTGCATTTTACAATTCTGCATTACTTCATACCAAGAAAAGAAAAATCAGACTACGGGCTATTTATGTTTAACCATAAATGAATTCATATTAAAAAATATTTCAGATTAAAATTCCTATCTTTGCCCAGATTGAGCTTTCATGAAAAATGCAAAAATATCAAAACTACATTTTAGACATTCAGTATCGTTTTGTAACAAAGAGTTCGTAAACATTCGGTAATTTAGTAATTATATAGCCAAGCAAAAAAATTAATAAAATAACAAGCACAACAAATGAATTCCAATGGATAACATGATCCGCGTCATATTCAATCAAAAATGTAAAATACAAAGTTCAAAGATAAACCTACTTTAGCATTCCAAACTGTATTTCGTTGTTCCACACTTGCAGGCGATGCCGTTAAAAGCTTCATGGACGATGAATCTTTAGGCTCAGTAGCACATTCTTCTTCAACAAAATCATGATCAAAACTGCTCCACTCAAAAAGTTAAACATTACATATTTATTAATTTTCTTCTCTCTTCTCATAATAAACCAAACCAAAAAAAAAAAAGGCAAAGAAATGATGAACAACTGAAACCCTTAGAACTAATCACCCGGGGGGGGAGACAAAAGCAACCATCAATTTTTCGATTCGAAAGAAATCCTTGCCTGATAAGGAAAATAATGCATAAAGTGTTTTCAAATTTTAATAGTATATATTATTTATTGCTATTTGAATTTCATTTCAAATATATATACATGTATCTTGTTTTGGTATCATCACTTCCGTGTGGATGAACAGTGAATGAAACCATTTTGCTACAAAATACTAGACATACATTTACGGATACAGAATATAACAGAAGAAAACGGGGAAGTAATATGAATATGACCATTTCAACTTAGCCTCTCACAAAACTACCTACAACCTTAAAAACTGGAAATTATTCCCTAAAATTAAAACCATTTGTCAATTCCATGTGTTGAAGATACCACCTTACATATTTCTTACGCCGTACGGCATTCTCCCAGTAGTTTAAAAGTAACTAATGGTAATTGCTTTTCTTGAGAATCAAGAAAAGTGTTAAAAAAGAAATCCTGTTTTGGTTTTCATCTCCAGAATCAAAAATCAGACTGGTAATTAATAGAATTTCAAAATTACATCACATGTTTAACGCATAATGCAGTGTTGCACATAATGGAAATTGACATGGCACTGACCAAGAGAAAAGGTACCTGACAGGAGTATGGATAGACAGTTTGATATCACCCTTTGGCCAGTTCACAACAGCCTGTGGCATTTTCAATAATACTGTCAACTCATCATCCAAAGATCATGATCAGAGAAAAGGAAATCATAGCACAGCTATACCTTGGAGAATTCAGGGGAGACAAAGAGCCGAGGGTATCGCTTATCCAATGAGAGATAGTCCCTCTCAGTTTCTACCAAACTGGATGAGTAAACCTGTTCAATAAGCAGATTAAATTAAATAAAACACTAAAAGCATTAACAGCACCATTTCAGCCACGGGTAGGTCTCAAATGTAATTCTGAAGTAAGACAGACAGCATAAACCCACAGTATAAGAGGATTTAAGTTTAACAGATCAATTTACAGCTCTTGAAGTAACTTCAATTTAGCATCAGAGGCCAATAATTCTTGCAGACCTATAAGCCTTTTTTCAACTAGTCTTGAATCTGTGGAAAACTAGTCTTAAAAAGGCTAACGATATAAGGAATAACAGAGCTAAGAAGCGGCCAGCAGGAAGGTCTAGGAGGGGATCATTAAGCGGAGGAGCAAGGAAGATGATAGAATTATCATGATCCCAAAAAAGGGTGATTTGAGGATATACAGTCAATCAAGCACTATGATATAGAAGAAGATGAAAGCAAGACGTAATGCAACATACTTTATGATCACAAAGAATTAGACGAACAAGAGAATCCCCAGATAAAAGAGGGCATGAGGAAAGAATGGAGTGCAGGCTAGTAGTAGTGCTGTCATCAGAAAGACTATGACTATCAAGCCCTCAGCCACAAATCTCCACACCGTAAACACAACAAAAAATCTAGTTCCTTGCAGCGTTACATTCTGTTAATGATGAAGCAACCAAGATCTTATATTTCCTTTTACCTTGCAGACATATTCTCTCCTTTTTTCCTTAACAGGTGAATGGTGCCTTCAGCATAACAGAACACCAAGTTAGTTTAAAAAAGGCTGCAAGATATACCAGCAGCAACATATCAGAACCAGAGTAGGACGCAAACAAAAAATTCAAAATCACCAACAGCCACCTATGAGAAATTTCATGATGTGGGGAGTCTCGACGTGAAGATCTAGCCTCCTTCGTCAAAGAGGATCCACGTGGATCTTTTGAAGCACCTCTAGGACCTTTCGAAGTAGCACGAGGATCCTTTGAGGACCTCAAAGGGCTTCGTTCACGCCTAGCATCAAATGCTCGTTTGCGCTCTCGCTCCCTTTCCTTCTCCCGCCGCTCCAAAATGCGCTCCCTTTCACGCTCTCTTTCTCGTTCACGTTCTCGTTCCTTCTCCCTTTCTCTTTCCCTCTCTCTCTCTCGCAAGCGCTCCCGACGACGCTCTTCTTCCCTGAGCTCAAATTCTCGAAGATAACTAGCTCGATCATCCTTGTGGTCCTTGTGCACCGAGCGCGACAATACACTTCCAGAATAATCTGACTCCATAGCACTCCCATGAAGTCCTTTTCCGCTAGCATAGTCCCTTCCAGGTGGCAAGCTCACTCCATAACCGGGATTTGAAGCGCTTTGGGAATATAAGAGATCATCTACACTTCTCCTTGGAGCAGCCCCTAATATGGACGGTGCATGTCGACCACTATATGAAGCAGCACTAAGCAATGATGAACCACGGGGTTCAGCATCTATCCTTCCCCCGTAAGACAGAAGATCTTGTGTAGGATGACGACTAGCAGCAGCCCTTGCTGCAAGATAATCAGTTTGTCTGCCAGAAATGTGCTACTCAGTGCAGGAGAAATACTTGTACCATTTAAAATAGCTAGTCACTGTTGAGCAGCTTTTGTCCAGTTTCATCAGAAATATAATAAGATTACCAAGCTAATTTACAAAGAATTAGGCATTCTTTACACCAGAGAAAAGGCCTTCTAGGTTAGTTAATAATAGTCAATGATATTATCTTAAGTAACCACAACTGGAATATGGTTGCACTTGAACAAAACTACAACGCACGTTAATTAGATAAATACCTGGTACTCCCATCAAGTGAGGCAGACTGCAGAGACTGAGCTTTCAGCAATTGCTCTTGTCGAAGCAAAGTTGCCTGATCAATGCGATCATATATTTCTGGTTGCTGGACATCGAGAAAGAAATATTACAATATAAAAAGATCACAATATTACAATATTTTTCCATCTCTCATGCTTTAAATAAAAACTTCAGAAAATAGAAAGCTGCTAGAATTTTTTGCTATGGGATAAGCATTAACCTGATGCTGATGACTAAAACCTACAGGATCAGCAGCATATCGACCAGTTGGATCATTCTGTAAGTCCCTACTCATATAAGCACTCTGCCGCTCACCATATTGCCGTCTATCAATTCCAGAATAGTCCAAAACTTTATCGCCATACAACTGATCTGATTTATGACCATATCCGTGGCTTGAAGATGAGAGATAGTCACCAGAAGCAAACTTAGGTGAATCAGAAACACTCACAGCATAACCCCCACGACCCTCCAAAGCCGATGCCCCAGCCCCTTGGCACTCAAAGAAGGAACCTTCACAAAATAATTACATGATTTTCTAAATAAAACCCAACAAAAACAGTTACCAATAACCCATAACTGAGAGTCATTATACCAGAATTTAATATCAAAGGGAAATTCACTTAAAGGAAAAAATGCAAAAGCAAAACTTAAAACGAAATCAGTTTTAAGAACCACCATATCCACAGATGGTGCTTACATTTTCAAGATATTAATTAACTACAAGATATAGAATGAGGTAATATATTTTTCCTAGAATGAATGAAGTAATGGAATTAATAGTTAACAATTAATAATTAATATAATGCATCAACATTCTTCACTAACTATCAGGTTAATTTTCTTTAGAATATTTAATACGCATGCAATAGTTTCAGTCATGTCAAATTTACTCCTCAACACGTGGGAGGGATACAGAAGAAGATCTATAAAAATTACTTTTCAATAATTTTAACTGAAAAAAAGACATAACCCACTAACCTGCTGCGCACTACTCAAAGCAGCTGAACCATAAACAGAACTATACTGTCCCCCGTATTGGGCAGCAGTGGAAGAATGAGCCCGATACCCACTAACATCAACTTCTTGAGAAGTTCCTAATATTGCTGAATGCCGAGAAGCCACAGAATGTTGACCCACATCAGGTCCTCCAACAGTTCCACCAGAATAACCAGAACCCAGCTATATAAATACCACAAAAAGTAGGATCAGACCCTCATATTATCAAGCTTGCAGCATGACATAAAATACAATAAATTTTCTCAGCTCCGTTTCACACTACAGTGATACCAATATGAATCTGATTTGTATAACGAACACGATAAAATATTAAATAGAAAAACTTCTCTGTTCAGAAAAACAATATAAAAAGCTCCGCGTAGGAGATATTTTAAAACTGCCAACAATAGGACATTGAACCATTACAATTCTGTCAGAAATATGGCAAGTCAATATTGAATAATAAAACAACCTACTCATTGTAAAATAGGAATGAAAATGCAAAGAAACTCCTCACATGAGGAAGAAAATCCAAAGAAGCCTCACACTAGACATACACAAATTCTGCATACGTGCTAAAACAATTGAAAACAGTGAAGTATGGCAATTCGATCAGAAAGCCTAAAGAGAGTATCATATGCCTTGTGATTGTGAATGTGTTAATAAATACCACCTCATTCGAGAAAATTCCAACCAAACCCATCGAAAGAACGAAAGACTTACATTCTGGCCATATGCGGATTGACCCCCGTAAGACTGCCCGTATCCGCTGCCTCCTCTGGAAGAATACATATTCCTTCACATGAAGAGTAAATGAGCAAACCTGGGATGAAGAAAGACCCCAAAAAAATTCAGCAACATGTCGTGAACATGAACAAGACTGAAAATTTGTAATTCGTTCATGAAAACTCAGACACGAAAATTAAGGGAAGATAACTTTTTGCACACCGAACCAAAATGAGACTTACAGAGTAGTGTGAGATTGATGAAAACAATATGTAGACAAAAGACGAATACTTCTTCGGAGAACTGAGGAACCCTAGAAGAGCAGAGAAGCCGTCTCTGGGATTACCGAACGGACAATAACGTTATCTTTCACAGAACGAAGGTTTAGCATTCGCATGCCCTGACGCCTAAAATTGTCAGCGGGCACTTTCGCGGGTTTTCTTGGGCTCGTTAGGCCTTGACCAATAACATGAAGCCCAATTTACATAAAGAGGACAGGGCTACGCCCAAATACTTAATTATTTTTGGTAAGAGGACCCAAATACTTGTGAATAAATAAGGCCAAACTAAAATTGCCCACATTTAACTAACAGAGTTAAGTCTAACAGAAAGAATTAGTCTCTCATAACATAATGAATCAATATTTAAATTTTTACTGAGAGAGTGCTCATATTTAGTGGCCAATAGTGGCTCAAATAAAATTGTCTTCAACAAGAGAATGCTTATGCTTAGCTAAAAAAAAAAAAAAAAAGTGCTCACATTTAGCAATAACAGTGCCTCGAACAAAATTACTTTAAATAAAAAGATACTTGTGCCTAGCCAAAAAAAGTGATCCTTTTTGTCAATAATGAGGGTTTTGTTGATAAGTTATCCATAAACACTTCTGTAAGTATTTTTTTAAGTCTAAAGACATGCTCTAATTTGAGTGAGCTTTAATTCACCTAAACTTTTATGTATAGAAAAAGAAATAAAACAAAATGTGTTTGTTGACCCAAAGAAAATTGAACCCCTTCTTGTGATGGTGAAGAGCAAAATATGCATTTTTAACAATGACATTTGCATTTTCTTCATAGTATATGTTGTAAATTGTACAACTTAGGGGGTGTTTGGCAACCTCCAAACCATGGTTTCAGAAGCACTTTTCCGTAAAACGAGACAAACTCCTCCACATATTTACTTCGTAAACCGTAAAAGCACTTCTGAAACTATGATTTGGTTTCTATCCAAACACCCCCTAAAAAGACCAAAATTTAAACAAATGCAACTGTAATCAAATTATAATATGCAAGTGTAATTTTTCTTTTAAGATATGCAATATATCATTAATAAAATATGACATTCATTTACACACAACAAAAGACATGTTGTACATAACCGGGAAAAAAAGAAGTTGCACAAACGAATCATTAATCATGGGCCAAAAAATAACACAAGTTAATCCAACAATTAAGTTACTCAAAATTCAAAAATTCCAAACAAAGTATGAGTCAAAATACCATGCATTGTACTAAAATCCAAATGTTCATAAGTTTTTTTTTTTTTTACCAGCAAATGTTCATAAGTAGTTTACAAATATATAAAAGAATAAAACAAAATTATGCAACTCCTTAATTCAATTTAGCAGACCTCGGGAGTTCCCCCATTGCCACTCACTTCGCACAAATGCTAGTTTACATAATTCATAACAGTATTTTATTAACCCCTCTATTAAATACAACCCATATTCTAAATCTAAGTGTTCAGCTTAGTAAAATCTACCCATTGGCAATATAAAACCACATTATCAGCCTTTAAACCACAAGAACCATAACATAGTAGACATAATTTGCTTTATGCAAGTTATGTCAAAATTTGCTTGAATCGTATTGAGGCTTGATCACGTTGTACTTTTTATCACTACCAAAAAAAAAAAAACTAATCATTGATGAAAAACCATTCCGTTACTAATTTTCAATGGATTACTAATAGAAATTCTGTTACTAAATTTAATAACAAATTAGTAACAAAATTTTTAGCCATAAATTCTCTTTGTGTCGCTAATTCGTCAATAATTTTGTTGATAGAATTTTAGTTATGATTTTTTTTGTTGGTAATTTTTGTCATAAAAAACTGTAGTATCAGAATTGGCGATGGAATTTTATAATTAAATTTTATAATAATCTCTTTGACTTATTTAATTTTGTATAATAAAATAATAGGATTGTTTATTATAATATATTCTTTTTTTACAATCTTTCAAATGATTTAGTTTTTGTTATAGAATAGTTAATTAGATTTTATTATAATATTTAATTTTTTGAATAATCAGATTTTTCACTAACTATAAATGTTTTTCTAAAATATATAAAAATTTGATCAATTATATAATATAATACAATATAATAGGTTTGTATGATTAAATTATATACTTTATCAATGTTAATTAAAAATAAAAATTATATTTAAAAATAAAATATATTTATAAAAAATTATGTATGCTTTGAAATTTAAAATTTCTTTCATTTTAAATTAATATTATATTAAAATTAAATTTTGAAAGAAATAAAAAATTATAAAATAAATAGTAATATAAATATATAAAAATTATTTTGTCATATTAATAATTAAAACTAAAATTATCAAATAATTTTTTTGCCAACTAAATTATCAAATAATCTGTATTTAGTTTTTGATAATATTATATATGTACGTAGCTATGTATACATGCATAATTGTTGGGGTAAAAAAAATTTTATATACACACATAATTTTGTGTTAAAAGAATAAATATTCATTGTAATTCAAATGGCAAAAAACCGGCCACTCACACACAAGCTCAAAAATTTGAGCCGTGGAAAAGTCACATTTCAAAGGCTTTGTGTTATTCATTTTAAGTTAGTAATTTTAGTTGTGTGCATTTCATTGTTTGTATGTTGGATTTAAGACTTATTTATAATGACTTGTAAATAGTTTTTTTTATCATGATTTATAGAATATGACACAAGTATATAAGAAGAATTTTATTTGGACTCGTGTGAATATGTTTATAAATACTTATAAGTTATAGCTACAAACAAGCCATTAGTTTTAATTGTTTGAGCTCATAATTGTCAATTTTATTAAAATTCTTGGATTTGGAAGTACACTTGGCAAATCACTCCCTCAAGAAGCCTCGGGTACAAGAGCCATTCTAGAAGAAATTTTTTTGTCCTTTTGATAAGACTATTTGATAGTTTTAACGAGAATTGAATATCTTTTCATATAAGGCCATATTTAATAAAAATAGTGAGGGAATAGATTTTAATATGATATTAGAATTTAGTGTAATCAATGAGAAGAATACCATAAATCACTTAAATTTTATGACAAATGTAATGTTTTTAACTGTTTTTATTGGTGCATGTGAATTAATTAATAGGTTCTTATAATAAGAACTACTGGAAGTTTAATGAATGTGTTTTTTCCAAAGCAGAATTAATGACAAGCCACTCATATGAGTTGAGCTCACGGAATTATGTAAGGCTTGGGGGACAGCAAAATGCCAACTCGCTAGATGTAGGTTATTTCACCCCACGACCATCGCGGGCTAACTTGTGAGTTAGGCTACTTTTTTTAAAAAAAAAAACTTTCTATAACTTTATTATTTATTCTCAATTAAAAATTTATTGATTTACTCATAATTTAAACATCCTCCTATTTTACGCTAAGAACTTGATCCTACATTTGGTCTTTCTTATTAATTTATCATTTTTAGGAAAAATTATAATAAGATCTCACCTAAACGAATTAACTATAAAAAGATCCCTTAAAATTATCAAATTAATCTGAAGTATCAAAGAACCTCATTGCAAGAGATTCCACTTATTTAATTATTCAATTGACCTTATCTTTTTTTAATTATACATTGACAACTGAAAGAACAGTCATTAATAACATAGGGCATAACAATTAACAATTATTACTATTAATGACTATTCTTTCAGCTATCAATGTATATTTAAAAAAATAAAAGTAATCTAATAATTAAATAAGTAAAATCTTTTACAATAAGATTCCTTCAAATTTCAGATTAATTTGATAATTTCAAGAGATTTAATTCTTTTAGGTGAGACCTTATTGCAATTTTTTCTTATTTTTTTTCTTAATAGAATAATCTTATATATTTATATCTATAAATATTTGGGTTCATTTAACAATATATAACTTTATGAAGGTGCAAAAATAATTTTTAAAAAATTAAAATTTTTGAAGAAGAGAATTATCCAGATTCAAGCTAACATAACCTACAATCCATGGGTTAACATATATTATAACATCTTTTGACGTATCATGTTCGTTTGTAAGAAATTATTCACAAAAATATCCAACAAGAAATTGTACTCTTCTAATCTTATTTATAAGATATTTTAGACATATTTTATGAAGAAAAAAATTAAATCTCATTAACTATATATTAAAATTTAATAAATTTCGAACTTTACATCGTTTAATATATACTCTACTCCATCTAGTACCTAATATAGGATGCCTTATGGAAGGTGCTCTTGATCCTTTTCATAATATATTTGATAGTTTTAAGAAGTATTAAATTTTTTTTCAATGTTTTGGCAAATTTTTGTGAGATAGTGGAAACTACGATGATGTTGGGGTTTGGCCAAAACAATCAGCATAGTTAATAAGGATGATATTGTAAATTATTTAAATTTTCTGATAAATTGAATACTTTTAACTATTTTTATTGGCACATGTAAATTAGTTTTATATTTGGGACTAGAGAGAGTATACTTTAAGGTCTTGTTCCCATAAATAATAAATTGAAGATGCAATTTTACATTTATGTAACGAAAATTTAATATTATTGTTTATAAATAAGACAAAAAAGCACACACACATTCTCTTAGCCTTATAAATTGGATTAAAAAAATATAGGGTTAATATAACATTTGATCCCTCAAGTTTCTTTTCATTTTGGTTTTGGTTCCTTAAATTTTAAACCATGGGTTTTGTTGCCTCAAAGGATAAAATGATTCAGGTTTTTATTAGATTATGGAGACCAATGTTATAAATAAAAAGAAACTTGAGAGACCAAAACCTATAATTTAAAATTGGAGAGACCAAAGACAAAATGAAGCCAAACTTGAAAACAAAAAATTATATTAATTCAAAAATATAAATCAATTTCATGGCTAATGGTAAGAAGTATATTACCTTTGGAAATGTGTATCTCTTCAAAGCTTACCATCAAAGTGGTCATACGCAAACTAATTGCTGGTTCAATTCTTAATATAAAAAGTTATAAAAAATAACAAATAAAAACCCCCCAATATATGAATTGCAATTTGAGACCCTTAATTTGAAAAATGACAAATAAAGACTCGGT